GAAGCAAAAGATAGTTTGTCCATCTGGCAAATGAGTAATTTGTTGGAAACTGTAACACTATACCAAATACATGTGGAAATAAAACTTTTCTGAGGCATAATGGGCCTTAACCAATTAGTCCACAGTTGAGTATAATACAGAATCAGATGGATCTACTGTGTACATGGCATTGTGAAATATAATGTCATGGGATTTAAGTTGTAATTATCAAATTACTGTGTGTTCTAGAAGGGGAGTCATTAGTTCAGAATTATACATGTTTTGTGCAACCTTGTACCAGAAATTTTGGAAATCGTATTGCACTATTTTGATATACGATTTTCGCACGCTCGATCATAAGACTGTCTTGGAAAAATAGCAATACGTAAAAACGTTTCTTCAACAAAATTCATAAGAAGAACTCCTCTGACGGTCATCTAGCTAGGCGAAATTGAACGCTCGATAGACCTTTTTCAATGACTATGCTTTTTGCAAAACGCCACCTATCACCTTTTTAAGTGGTGAATAGAGTTGTAACGATGGTCACTATCTTCCGATACACATTTTTGTCTAATACAAAAACTGTATAAGACGTTGACTTACTAAGTAAGGTATAACAAGGAACTGAACTATGATTCTCTTTAAACTGTAATGTTCTGTAATTATCTCCCTTTATTTTGTTTTCACCCAAACAAACAAGTGTTTGACCTAAAACTTTAAGTTTAAGGAGTATTTTGGACTTATAATAAATTTTATCAAAACCTCAATTTTTAAAAACATTGTAATGTTAAACCAAACATGTATACAAATTCCTGAAAGCTAAGAGAAAACTGTTTATTGGAAGGGTTTTGTTATAGGTTATATTCTTGTTTTTTTGTGTAACGACATTGACACATTGCTGCCCATACCTCACCGAACAATATAAAAAGTAGGCCTATATGGCAAAAGTGAGTTAGTTAACTTTTAAAATACAAGTTAATTCACTTTAAGCAGAGCTGTTTGGATTGAACTGAAGCAAAACATTCTTCAGCGTAGACTGAGTGTTTCTTCAGCGTAGACGGAGTGTGACCTTCTTTCTGATTTTTTGTTCAATGTTGGTAATCAGACGTTGCGTGAAATGATGCACGATGACAATCTGCGAACTGGAAAACCATGCATTTGAATTCTGCTGACTTGTTTGGCGAGGGAGCATGATAAGTGTTATAATTGGCGGCCATTCCGCTAGGACAGTCCGAATCCTCATGGAGTTGCTTGATTATAGCAATGGATCACACACACACGCGTGCGCTAACGGTTGTGATGTTGTTAAAATTGCTTATACCAAGTGTAGCCATAGGGGCTTTCTTTTCCTCTTACACATAACTTAGTAAATGCATAATCAGTAAAATAATATTAAATTTGTTCTGCATTTAAATTAATTAAACATGAGATTGAAATTAGAAATCAACATGCGATAATCAAATCGATATCATTGCCGAAAATAGTCACACTTAAATAGTTGGTGCTTTGTAAAAGATAAGAAGTTTGTTTTCACGTTTCATAATAATTTCAGACAAAGATAGGCTTACAAAGAATTTCCATTGTTAATGGCATTTCAATTTTGATTAAATATCAAATGTTTCACAAAGTCAGACGTAACGTACCGTAAGGTTTCAGGCGTTTGATATCCGTTTTTCATTTCTATTACTGGATAAGTATTTAAAATTTATTGTATTCGTGGAATTAATGACATAATATCGACAGTGATTATCTTACATATATCTGTCTTATTTCTATGGTGGCATTGAGAAGACATCAGAAGTATTTTATCTGTCACATTCGCACGCGATAGCTACTACGTGCGCACGCAATATTGACTATTTGTGCACGAAATAGCTACTACAATATGGCTACTACGTGGGCACGCAAAAGCTCCTACGTTGGTCAGTCATTGCGTGCGCACGTAATAGCTATCGTTTGCGCACATAATACATGTAGCTTGAACGTGCGCACGAAGAAGCTATCGCGTACGTACTTGGTAGTGATGGCGTGTACACGTTAGAGCTATCGCGTGCCAACGCAGAAGCTATCGCATGCCTACGCAGTAGCTATCTCGTGCACACGTGGTAGATAAAATATTTCTGATGGCCCCTTTATACCACAGTAGATTTCTGTTTAAGTTTAATTCAACAAATCAGATAGAGTATCAAAATCATATATAAGTTTCATTATCAATATTGTTTGTCGATAATACAACATTGCCATCATGTGTGCATTTCTTTTATCCTAGGAAACATTCTGCGCTGATTTTTTACAAAAAGTCATTTGCTTTTATTCCAATGATGTCGCGTTAATTATGGTAAGTATGATGAAGTCATACAATTTTTAGCAACGATAAATAATAAATGCATATACAATATAAACTTTAATATATGAACGTTATTAAAAAAGAATTACACCGGCAAAATTGGCTAAATGAATTCAAATGCCTTCAGACTTAAGTGCTAATTCAGTTAGATAATCATTCGTTCTTCAATACCTGAAAAGATGTGTGCAACACATACAATTAAAAAAATGAGCCACAACTTTTAAAACTTTATTTTTTATCTGGATTTTCAATCTTTTACTTCCTGTCTTGCTGGTTTGTAAAATTTAGTTCTTTATCTCTTAAATCTGTATACAACATTGTTTACCTAAACTTGAAAAGGATTTTTCTCGTCTTGTCTTTTTAAAAGCAATAGAGTGGATGGCGTTTGGTTTACAGATTAAAACAATGATAAGTTTGAACACGCTACTGTATAAGCCTTTAGTGTTAAATACAGAAAAAAATGTTTAAAAACATTCCTTGACTTTCGTGTTTAAAGAGAGCGATAACAGCATTATGTCTATTGTTACACAACTCGCCTGAAAACAAGATAAATATTGTTTCGAAGTCCGAGTGGAGCATTACGGGTAAAACACGTTATCCGTTTTCAGGACTAACCTAGGCAGTAAAACTTTATTATTTTCAATTATATCTGGTACTTAAGCGAATCTTAAACCAACATATTATTTTTGATTTTCTAACGACTTCGGCTTCTTAAAATAAAGACATATGTTACGTACGTGTCGACGGGATGTTTACAAAAAAACTGTACGATTGGGAGAATTTTGCAGATGCGCCATGATTTTGTTTACAAATTAAAACGCAAAAGTGTTTCAAAATGTTCTTTTATTTTTTTCAACTAAAATATTAAATTCAACAGCAACATACTTTCAATAGTGTATTTGTGTTTGTATAACACGCACAAGCACACTAGCTCACAATATTTAGCACGCGTATATGATTAATCAATATCATTGAAATCATTTCACGTCATATGTTTACAGTCGCTCACCGCAATAAAATAGAACTGTTGCATGCTCGACTTTACAGAGCCTGCTCATGAACAACAGTGGCAAATTTAGCTGTCCTTCACGACCCTAGTATTATTATAATTCAGAACTACTATATGCAACACGTCATGCAGGATTTTAGTAACTTTCAATAAAAGGAACAACCAAAAGGAAAATACAGATTTATCTTTAAACAAATCCGAATGGAAGGATGATCCTCGGCTAATAAAAAGAAAGGAAATACATGCAACCAGGGACAAGGGCATGTGGCTAACAAATATCGTATTCTATGTAGCCCTTTACTATTTGTATAATGTCACAATTATTATAAATAGCGTGTAAGTTTGTACTGTTTCTGAAAGTAAAATAATTTCATTTTACAAAATACAGTATTCCTATAGAATGATCATTTGACTGCATGATCATCTTGGCACGGCACTTGTGAATTACGTACACCATCATAGCACACTTATGGGCGATTTTTCCTTCTGTTGTTTAGAATGAACCATTCTCTGTTGCTTTGATTTTTGGGAGTTTTCATATACACATGTAGGCAAAATCAAAACTGTTTAACAGAATTTCTTTAAACATAGCACATATTTAGAATATGATTAATAGAAAAAAATGGAGGCGTCGTTCTAATGTATTGCATATTTCTACATGTATTCCAGTAATAAATGACTTGTTTATTATGCATTGCAATATGCATAAAATTAGGAGAAATCTTATTTAAACAATTGTGATATTATGATATTTTTCGACAAACATAAGAAGTAACTGCGGCAGCCTGTTAGTGACAACGACCCTCGTTCGAAATATACTATTAGAAACATCCAAATTATTACCCAGAATATAGTTTTAAACAAAAGAATGAAAGAATATAATAATGGCCATGGAATAAGAGATGTGTATATATATGAAGGCAACTGCCTTAAAGTTTTAATCAATTGTGAATTTATTTTGTAAATTCTCTTTAAAATTGGTTGTTTTTTATGTTTTATTTTCTAAGGGAAAAGTAGCAACTTAACACGAAGTTATAATAATTGTTAAAGCACTACATCGTCACTTGTTATCCTACAAACAGTCGAAATAAAATGCATGCAAGTGAATTTAATGACACAATGGGTCATCGTAAGGACTTATCATAATGTCAAAATTATAATGTCGTGCCGTTTCTACAAAATAATATGGAATTATCTGTCCAATATGTTTACTAAACTTTGTTCTAGTATATTCTTATAACGAATTGAAACATTATATGTTATAAATTTAAAGACACATTTAGCCTCTATCTATAACTCGATGCAAAACAGTAAACAAAAAGGTTTTAATAATAACAGAAAGATATCTTACAGTAAAAGAAACATAGGGATCAACATTCAAAGAATGCATCAAAAGCTAATAAAAGGACTATATCTGTCCCTCAACTCGGGCAAGAAATTGTTTTGCAATCGAGCTTAAATGAATATTGTAAATTACAGACACTGAAAAATTGTTATGTCTTATTCGAAAACGTTGTCAGCATTTATAAGCCAACTGTTTACACTTCCTAAATCATGTTTCATGTGTGCTTGTTTAAATATTGTTTGTGTTTTTGCAATCATTGTCACGTAGCCTACCCTAGTTTTTTTTATAAATTTCCTTGTTACTCCTATATATTTCATCTTAAAACCTTACTGAATGTATCACCAGTCTTTGTTACTCCGGTAGGTAGTACACAGGTGAACACAAATTGACAGTAGGACACACGAAATACTGCACGTTCAAATCGTTCAGGTAAGATCCGTTTATTTACTATATTGTTTTCATGCAGTTAATAGTAAAAAACTGACTATTAGGTATTAAAAGCAACGTTTTATTGCAATATCAATTTAAATGACTAGAACAAATTTGAATAAACATGTTGTAAATATAGTTTGATGTAACAAACGACTTTTGTATTGAAATTCATAGTGTATGCATTAAACTTGAGGCTCGGTTTTTTAAGTCTGTACATGGACGAGTTCAAAGGATAACGTCCGAAGAGCTTTCAATAGGCAATTGCTGATATTTAATCAAAACTGAGAAACTCATCCATTTTAATATGATGAATTTTAATATTGCATGTGATCAGTACTTCGTACGAAATTTATAACGAAAATCAGTTTTTCTGCTCAATATTACGTTTTCTTTCAGGAAAACTGACAGACCCATTATTATCTAAAGAAATAGCATTTCGATAAAGATAATGAATGTCCCGATCGTATATACATTTCTGTTTGCAATGCTTGCATTACGCGTTTCGAGTTTAGATAATTCAGGAAAATACAATATAAGTGGACAGACCCTGTATAACGTTGGCAAACACTACAACATGTCATTGGTAAGCATTATTGGTAAAGCTATGAAGAACATAGAATCCGATGTTCGGGAAGTAGCAGAAGAAATGTGTCGCTTGCATCGTTGTAGTGAATGGACAAATTGGTCTAACTGTGATGTTAGAGCAGATAAACAAAGACTTGTCGGTGTTCAAACCAGATCACGGACATGCGGAGAAAACACTACCATGTGCGAGCGATATGGATTATCTAGAACAGTTCTGGATTATAAGGTATGTGAAAGTGGATTTGGATGTCCTAAGGAATATAAGTTTACGACGAATGGCTTCTGCTTAAGATACTACACAAGTCCAAAGTCCTGGGATAACGCTGAAGCCGTTTGTCGATCTGATGGTGGTCATCTGGTGCGTGTTGATTCAGAATTGAAAGCCAAGGACATAAACGAAACAGTCCTTGCACTTCCGCCAAGTATCAGTTGGTTATGGATAGATGGTCGACGATCTGTTCAAGCAGGACCTTGGTCATATGGGTACAAATCAACAGATTCAAACTTTACTTACTGGGGTGACAATGATCCGGATAATGGGGCAACCGAACTCTGTATGATGTACCACAAATCTGAAAAAACAAAATTTCTTTGGCGTTGGTTTGACTATCCATGCAATAACTCATTCCATTTTATCTGCCAGATTCTTGCATAATTATCTTTTCATATTTGTTTGAATTCATATACGGCTAGTGACTAAATAAAACACAAATAATATGGAAATAATTGATTTAATGAATTTTGCTATCAGAATCTAATGGTTGAAACAAACATTTAATCTCTACAAAAAGTATGAAGGAAAAACTATTTACAATAACAAAACAAGCTAAGTGTATATATTTTTTACATTTTCTTGTAATTCAAGATGAATCTTTAACTTCCTTATAAGCAAACGTTGTCGTTTCATTTAAGCTTTTTTTAAACATCATCGTTTATATAACCTCTATAAGATCTTATCATCAATTTAAAAAAAAATGTCTATAAAATTAATTTCGCCGTATTAGCCGTGTATATTACAAAACAGTATCATGATATTTATTTATCAGGGAGAGGAAAACAAACTATATAAGACAGTTATATTATTAGTTATAAAGATCGTTGACAGGTTATATGGCCCTATATAAACGGCTATTTGTAAATATAACCCGAGCCGTTAGGCGAGGGTTATATTTCAAACAGCCGTTTATATACGGCCATATAGCCTGTCAACAATCTTTATAACGAATTTATAATACAGCAAGCATCATTTTTAGAGAAAAAAGGTAGATTTCTTCATGAATCGACTGCAGCCGTGTATATATAACTATATAAACGTCACGATTATCCAATGAAAAATGACGTTACAAACGTGCAGTATTATAAAAATATGAATATAGATATAGTTATACATGTATACAGTTCTGTAGTGAATCACCATAAATTTTCAGTATGCATATACTACACGTTTATCAAAACAAATTAAATGGAAAATATATATTCCTCTTACAATGTTTTGTCTTGTTTTTTCTTGCTCTGACAATAGCAAAGAAATTGATTGAACGTTTCATATCGAAGTAAAAAAATGTGCAAAAGATATTTCGGCTAGTGTGGAAAAATCAGATTAACACTTGTTTAAGAAAGTGTTTAATAAATGAAAGGGCAAAATAAGTCATATTATTGACCAATTATGAAGTCATTCTGCATCTGAATGTATTAAAACATCTGCCCACTATGTGAATTTAATTATACTGTTTTTTAACTGCAGTTAAATTGAAACATTATGGAAACTTTCTAAAAACGAATGTAAAACACCTTCGTTGTAAAATTTCGGACCAGAAGAAACTTTGTAAACTACTGAAAATAAAATATAAATCACAAAGTATTGTTGAAATAAAATTGACTAGTACTCGTCATAATGAAAATGAGGATTAAGACAATATTAAGGAAAATATGTTGGTTAAGCTTACCGTTATTCAGTTGTAGTTGTTTAGTTGGCCAGAAATCAGCCGTTTAAGTTTGTTGTTACGTGATTTATTAAATACCAAAGCAATATAATAAAAAGAATTAAAGTTTCTTTTGTAATATTGGTTTAGACTAATATTTTTTGTAATGTAAAATGTAATACATGTATTTGAAAGTTATGTGAACAATTGCAAAGAGCTTACTTTATTGGTGTCTGCTACAGCTCTGTTCTTTAATATTTAATACAGAAATATAACGGTTATATTGGTCTACTTAATATGTGTTTGATAATTGAATAAGACTTACATCCGGTAGAGAATTTTTAAAAAAAATCTTTAGACGTAAAATGTATTTCAAGGAACTGACAAGCCTGTCATTCATTTTTAACACATAATGAAAAAGGTTAGTGTTCCTGTTTACAGAAATGCCAAAGGAATGTTTGAGTAACCAAAAGAAAATATTTTGTCATGTAACAGCATGTACATGAGTGTGTACATTTCACTATTTTGCAATGTATAGTTTACACATTTAAATTATTTTAGAAAAAAGACATGGAAAAACAACTGCGTTCATTGAGTGTAGCCCTTCCTTATAAAACTTTGTTTTTATTTCATGTATTTTTTATTAGAATGATTCAAAGCAACATTGCTGCGAAACATCAAAGGCGACGCCAAATTATTTTTGATCAAGAATTGCACATTAAATACTTAACAGAAGATGTGTAATTTATATCAGTACCATTGCATGTGACCTGAAGGCTAGGACCCTGTTTAAGTTGACACTTGAACCCAAAAGAATAGATTCTGTCTTTCCAAGATGCAAAGACAATTTATAGCCAATTAACCAATCACAAATAAGACTCATGCCATAAGACAGAATTTCTTTAGATTTATTTTACCAGATACAAGGATACCTGACACATCAGCATATCATAAAAGCGTATTGCTTAGGATTGCAGACTAGTCATTGACATATATTACACATAATTAGGACCTAAAATAGGTACTCGAAGCAGTAAGAGAATGAATACCAGCCACATCCACCAGCTGCTGTCTATCAGAGATGAACCATATAAGAATGTCCTTATCTATTGCAAATACTTTAAGTTTCATGTGCAGTAAAGTGTGATCAACTGTATTAAATGTCTTTTGTAGATCTAAAAGTATTTTGCATACAATACTGCCTTTGTCCATTTCAAATATAATACAATTAAATGAGTCAAACATGTGTCAGCTAAATAAATACTTCTAAACTCTGACTGAAACTGCCTGATCATGACTCAAACCCATGACTGTCAGAAGACCAACTGAGCTATCCGGCCTTAATAATAACCAGTTCTAAATCATAACATATTTCCCCACTATATTGATATATGCCTCGAATTTCTGATGTTACTTACAGAGCATAGTGAATTAAACTCTGGGTTATATGGAGTCACAGGATAAGAAAACCGCACAGTTTGACCAGAGAACTATTATTTTTACTAAAAGAAAGGCTTGGACTGTTATTGATTGTGCCATTATTTATATCCGGTCAATTTAAAAGTGAACATAACTAAAATAATACAATATCTTATTCTTTTTACAATTAAATGAATTGATAAGAAATGTTATGGAGGCTGATTTGTGCCATGTTATATTGGGTACCGGGCAAAAACGTGAAAATATAACAAACAAACAACTTTCATATCAATTTTCATATTTTCATCTGGAGCCCGGTTATTTTATGCAATTGTACTTTGTCTGTTTTTATGTGGCACAAATCAGCCAATATAAAATTTAGTGCACAAATTTATTCAAGTGCAAGAAACAAGCTACTCTATGAAAAGTCTGTAGTCGGGTTGACTCTGCCCGAGACCTGAAGATTGAAACAGGTGTCCCTCCATTACATAAATGTAAGACAGGAGCTGCTTTTCAAACTATGCACATGTTAGAAAAAAATTAAATAACAATTAAAATATGATAATTTTGAGACGTTATAAATTATATTGCTTGATCAAAAAGTTTAAGGACATTTTCGTCCTTTAAAGGACCAGTACTACTGACCTACTAGCACAGAGAATGAATTGAAAATTGCTGATGTTATATGTTAATAATCAAACTCTCCAAGTTTTATCAAATGTATATCCCAAGAAGTAGATTTATACACAGCTATATTCGTCGTAGTCGTTTGGAAAAAAAAACAATTAAAGTAAGGATATTGTCTATAAAATAATTGATACATTTGGTCACATGTTTCTTAGGTTTTTCGTAACGCCCACGTTTTGCCCATGCATTGTCTTAGTAACTGTTATATTTGAAATCAAGTAAGTCAATACATATTTCAAAGAAATATGACAAGGAAAAACACTACGTATAATTGTTCAATGCAGAGACTTTTTGAACGTGCGAGGGTTGTCGCAGAAGTAAAATGACTTTTATCATAACTACTTTATTTACATTCACTGGGGTCAATTGTTCTGCTTGAATATGGTTTAATATGTACTCGTATATCATCTTTAAAAACCCTCAACATCGAAATTCGTTTTCCTTAAAAAAGAATCGTTTCCAAGGTAGCATGTGTTACGGGCGGCGCTCGCAATATTATATGACGCCAAGAAAAAATTTACCCCTTTAGACAAAAAAAATCGTCTGCATAAAACGTGACGTATCTTTTCGTGTTTACAAGTAAGGACTCCATAGCATTACCAGTAGCTGAGCAACAGCGCTATTTATCAAGTCAAGCAACGGGCGGTAATTCAGATCATCCATGCACTTGGGAAAACACCAAAAAAGACCATAAATTGGTTCCAGAGGCAGGCAAATATAAATGCTGGCGTTCATTAGTGTTAAGATGGGATACATAGTTTTGGGAAAGTCGTCATTAATAATGAGGCGGTCACCCTTCCAGTTTTCGATTGTCACTCGTAAAGCAAATTAGAGAACAGAAGGCTATAAACCATGGGTAAACAGTTGGAAGCTTAGCCTCAATACTGTATGTCTAAGGATACAGAAAGATCTAACATGAGCTAGGTCAGCGCTAGATGAGTGTCCCGACATCTCACTGTATAAATGCTGATAACTATTTCAAAGTAATTTCTTTATATTGATTTATGTTTTAGCTTACATTTAGAGTTTAATTAAATTGTGATATTACAAAATCGTAACAATAAGTAAAGAAAGACCTGCAAACCAGTTGCAGATCGCTAAATTGTGATTATTATTTTCTCAGCTGTTGCGTTGTGACCTTGTTCAAGAGCTCGGGAAAAGCGTGTTGCACCAACGCAACGCCCCTCTTCTTATGACGAGTTCCACTCAGTTAGAGATTGATGTCTTGCGGTTTTAAAGAATCAGTAATCCGCCCTACACTCCCTACATCGTCAATTGGTACGTCAGTGTGTTTTAAATCTCGTTGTTTCAGACAGTGATGTGTTAATTTTGAATGTAGATCTACTAATATTTCATGTATTTTTACGAACGTTTTAAATATGAAATATAAAAGATGAGCTTGAGCGGTACTTATTTCTCAACACTTTATAGTGCTGGCATCAATGACCCCGAGGGTAATTATTTCAAAACTGTATTGAGCTAGTCATAAGTAACTTTTATTACATGGCTTTTAGAAATGCAAAAATGATATGAACCCGATGAATGTATTGGACAAATTATACTTATACGTGAGGAAGTCAGAAAATATCCGGACTGTTGACTCGTTCTCGAAAACCATTCAACATTTTAAAAAAAAAATCTTTCTACTCGTTTGCCATCTTCGTGGGAGCCTTTGTATTCCCGCTGTGAACCATGACGTAGACCTATGTTTTAGGTACTGAGTAACAGCAGATATCGAAGCCACCCTGGTCTTATATATCTTTCCAGCAAGCAATTTTTTCAGTTCTGGAAGCAAATAAAAGTCACAGGGGGCGAGGTCTGAGCTATAAGGAGGGTGAGACAACAATTGCCATTTGTAAGAGTTGATAAACTCCACTGTAGCTGCGGCGGTATGGGAGGGGGCGTTATCGTGAAGAAGGAGGACATTTTTCTGTGCTAACCTGGGACGCATTTGCATCAGCTTTTCTCTGAGATTTTTCAGAATTACTTCAGAATAGTACTTGGCGGTGACAGTTTAACCTTTTGGCATGAAATGAGTAAGTATCATTCCTCGTGAATCCCAAAAGGCAACAAGCATGACTTTGCCAGCCGAAGGAGACAGCTTAAACTATTTAGGAGGTGGGGAATCAGCTCGTTTCCATTGCTTTGGCTGAACTTTTGTCTCAGGTTCGTAATAATGAACCCATATCTCATCTCCAGTGATAATGCGGTTCAAAAACTGATCTCCTTTACGATTAAAACGACTTAAATGTCTTTTTGCATTGGTTACTCTGGTTGCCTTTTGATCTGCGGACAGCTGTCTAGGCACCGACCTGGCACTTACCTTGCTCATGCCTAGGTGTTCGTGTAAACTCTTTTATGCCGATGCCTTACCGATGCTAAACTTGTTGGCTACCTCCTCCAAAGTAACTCGACGATTTTTGTTGGCAAAATCTTTAACATTTGCTACCATTGTTGGGGTCACCGCCTCAGCTGGACGCCCA